GAGAGAGAGAGAGAGAGAGAGAGAGAGAGAGACGATTTCTATGATCAAACATCCTCATGGTCTTTTTGTCCATCAACAGCCAAAAAAAGGGAACGAATCAAAAAGCAAAGATGATTTGGAGGTAGAGGATCAAAAGCCCAATCTTGCATATCAAAAGATTGATTTGGATGTTCTAAGAAGCCGTCATCTTTGCTTACCTGCAAGTGAGATTTCACATGAGCCAAGGTGAGATCTTTCACATCCATGAGCTCGAGAACCGACTTGGGCGTGGCTCCTGCGCTCCAACAACAAGAGACGGTCATGGCAGAAAGGTCAGATCGCTTCGTCCACCTGAATTGTGCCAGTATCGGGGAAGAAGAGATAATTGAGACAAGGAAAGGAGCAGCAGTAGATCGTACTCTCGTGCCCTCCCAACAGCTCCACGGCATGGACGAAGCGGGCGTGGAGCGTCGTCGTCCACCGCATTCTCGGCGCTCTCATGCTCCGTTTTCCAGGGAACCTCGTCGGCAGGAACCGTGATCTCGACAAGCCTTGTGTTGCAGCGAAGGGAGAGAAATTAGAGGTGGAAGAAGAGTCACACGGCTGCTGCTGCTGCTGCTGTTGATGCAGTGGGACTAAAGGGAAGGAAGGCTTGTGCTGGTAGACTGGGATTCCCCTAATGGGCTTCAGCACGCCGAGGTCCTCGCGAAACCCAGCCTCCTGCAGCAGCGGGTGGTGGTGGTGGTGGAAGTGGAGGTGGTGGTGTTGGTAGTGAGGATGGGGACGGAGAAGCAGGCTGTCCCTTGCGCTGCTGCAGTCTGTGGCGCCGGGGCTCGCTAAGGAGAGGCCGAAAGCGGTTTCGCCGGCCATGGCTGTGCAAGGGCCGGTGATGCTCTTCCTGTTGTTGTAGCTGCTGCTGCTGCTCCAAAACCCTAAGTCCATGTTCTCATCAGCCTTCCTCCAAGCAGATGCTTGTGTGGTGTTGGGTGGGCTGATTTGGAGAGACAAATCTGGTTGTGCTGGAAACAGCTCCATTAATTTCTGCTCCAACACTTCAGATCTCTTCTTCTTCTTCTTCTTCTCTTCTGGTTGAGCTCTTCTCTTCCTGCTGTGGTGAAGGTTAAGGGAGAGGTAGATGTACTTGCTGGCTTGTGTGTGGAATAAGAAGCCTGTTCATATGGGTATGATGTAGAGGAATTTGTCTGGGAATGATGGTGTTACAGTCCAAAGAAGTTCTGATGTATGAGTTGGTTGTATGCAGTGTTAGCATGGAAGATGTGGAGGTAAATAGGTAAGATTTGGAGCGAGAAAGCTTGAATTCCTTGGTTTGTGTAGCTTACTTTGTCCAAGAAAGTGACACTCGAGTGTGTGTGTGTGTGTTTGTGAGAGAGAGAGAGAGAGAGAGAGAGAGAGAGAGAGAGAGAGAGAGACTTGTTCTTTGTGTGCAAACTGCAGCAGCAGCAGCAAATTACCTCTTTTGGTACAAAGGATTTTAGCTTGTGAGATGATCTCCTTCTTCTTGCATGTATTTGTGGATAAACTTGGAATTTGGATATCCTAATTGCCATGAATCCAATAGCAGATCACCACACTGTGGTTCTTAATCTTGATAGGCACATTGATCATGATAGATGAACAAACTTCATTAGTAAGCATTATTTTCTCTGCATGCTGCTTTCTTGTGATCTTTCATCATCTTAAAAGCCACCAACCTAATTGCTAGAGGAACTACAAAAATTAAGCTAAGATTTCTTGACTCTGTGAGTTCATACTTCATAGTAGCACCAAGGATCAATTCATTAGGTTACCTTTGTGTACATCTTAGTGTTAATCTACCAAGTTTATGATAGCAAGAGTTGTAATGGTAATATATATATATATATATATTATATTTAGTTTCACATTGATTAGCCAGCTTTACGATCTTAATATAAATATGATATCTTAAGCCATTCGAGTTCTGGTAATGAGTACTTGATGATACGAATTTAACACGGTGTATACTTATAATACGACGACGACTTAAACCATTTGATGAGAATTTTGGGGAGAGGATAAAAATTTCTCCCAAAGTCATGAATGTGAATCTATGACTTGTACATAAAAATAACATATGGACTATCTGAATTATTTCAACTAATCAAAACTGAAAATGTACAATTCTATCTAAAGATGTTAGAATAAGCCATCATGGCTCACCATAACCTCATAAATTTTAATATAAAATATTCTCTAAATCACTTGTGTTTTGAAGAATATTTACCTAACGTCGTAAAATGATTAAGACTTTCATGTTATAAATAGGGGTCTCTGTAATATATATATATATAAGCTTTGTTTTTTTTCTCTCTAACCTTTCACATTCAATTTCTAAATCCATTTAAAATCTTAATTACTTTAAGCATAAGAGAAAAGACACAATCATATTACGAGTTTTTTTTTCTCGTATGAGGATTCAATGATCGGGCCTACAAATTAAAGTCCTCGGTTCTCGATCATGATCAGAATTAAAAAATGAGCTAAGTCGGATTAGCATAACCAATTTATAATCAATTACTTTTATTACTTCATATTATTCGCCTTCGATACCTTACTCAACAAAAGGTAGTATAAGGTGAAAATCAATTCCGAAATCTAAATAAGAGGATAAGATTATTAGATACTGAGGTATTGAGTCCCTCATAATACAAAATTATATATACACATAAAATGGCTTACAGAAGAAAACCCTAAAAGCTTTTGATTGCATCTGAAGTTGCTGGTTGGTTTTCCCTGGTTTCAGTGCCCATTTGGTCTACATGATCATATGGGTCTGTTCAGTAGCCAACAGAGTCTTATTTGCCTCAGCTAGGGTTAGCAATGGATGAAAGAGATGACCCTAAACCCTCATTCCCAATACCCACAGTATCTTCCAATCTTCCACACTGGAGCTACCACAATAAATAATACTCACACTCTCCTCCCCTGTAGACTTTTCTTGTTTGACAAAAAGGTTTGCCCCTCCTTTGAAATTTGATGCACAACTGTGTGGCAGCACAATATCTTCCTTCATATGGATGAGACCCCTCTCTCAACCCTAGAACACAACAATTTTATATCCATGAGGGTAGTAGCATGGGGATCCCAATGGGGAGAGAAAAGGCACTACATGTTGCTTGGGAGAGAGCACATAGCTTTAGAAAACAAGCTAGAATTAATGACACAGCATTGGAAGTCTCCATCTCTGTTTTGGTGCCAATTTAGTTGCTGTTGGTTGGAGGACAAGGTCTCAAGGCCACAAGCCAGAGATCAAGAAACAAGAACTGATCCTTGAGCACTACAAAGCTTGGCTCTCCACATCCATGCCATGGATGGAGGGGAAGTGACCAACCAATGTCAACTCTCCTCCTGGGGTGAAGAGGAGGGGAGGATGATGATTAGGATAAGAGTGCTGCTGTGGGTCTCCAAGAAGGTCTCAAGCTGTGAAGAGGGCAAACATGTCAAGATATCATCATCATCATCATCATTATTATTATTATTATTGTTATTATACTTGTCCTCCACTCAATGTTGACCTTCTTGGGGACCTAAAGACATTAATCTCAAGGAAATGAATGTTAGTTAAAGAAGGGTTAAGAAAGAAGGTAGCATTTGACCACCTCAGATAAATTTGGTGCCATTTAATATGTTACTTCTCCCTAAATATATATAGCATGCCCTTGGTGAGACCCAAGAAGGAATCTCCAAGTAATTACTGACTTGAGCTTCAAAGTTTGATTAGGTTTTGTCTGCATTACACAATTCTATGTTTTCATCTGGTGGTACCTTCATGTGATTCCATTATCAGCAGACAGAAGCAGATGGAAGAGTACCAAATCTCAAGACACTTCCTATAACAAATGGATATCAGTCTTTTATTTTTTTTCATTTTAAAGAATAACATAAGTCCAGTCACATCCAAATTAATCAAGTTTAGCTTTGAGCAACAACATGATGCTTTGCTAAGGTCAAAGTTCTGGTGGAGATCATCAATGCATATCCACATCAGTAATAAAAGAAGCTGACTTAGGTAAAATGTCAGACTGAAATGAAAATGCTGCCTATCGTACAGCATTTACAAAGAAAACTCTCAAGAGGTTGTCATGGTAAAGGCACACCTAGGGTTTGCATTCAAGGTGTATTATGGTATATTTAATGCCAGTAGTTCATGGCAGACAGGAATAATAGATGGAGGCTAACTACTAGCAGTATCTGTCATGAAGAACAAACAAGTGAGAGGCTAGATATTGTCTAGAACTGCTCCTATAAAAACATGGGTTGGGTCAGATATAAATCATTGTCCAGATCAATAATACTAATGATTCCACTTTACTCCACCTGTTTGTTCTCATCCAATGGAGGATTTGCATCATGCAGGTGAATCTGTTGTTCATCATTTAGAAGACATTCACAATTGACCAAACCAATATTCCAGTCTCATCTATTTAAGCCATAAGCCCCCTTTTCACCTTTGTTCTTCATGCATCTGCATCACTGTAAACTGGGTTGCACTTGATTAAATGTTAGAAAAAGGTTACCATCACAGTGGGGACTTACTGTTGATTCTTGTGAAAAGATGCAACACATTTATAATTTTCATCAGAGTGTACATTTGACATTTATTACCATTGACAATGATCTAGCTCAACACAAGGAAGGGTCATTTACAATATCTCTCAACTGTGCAATCTTGTCATGTTGAACATGCTGCCTTTGAATGGTAGGCAAAGTCAGATGCATTGGCTGAAGATGAATTGGTGGGCAAGTTCAAGTCATATCAAAATTGTACAAGAACAGATCTGATCCTTTGAGGCTGGCTTGCTTGCTTCTAAGATGAAAACTTGGGAGAACATCTCTGTTAGACATGGAAGCAAGCATGATTGATTGCTCATGCACTTGTTTGAGTGCACATAAATTGCTTTGATTGTCCTCTCTTCAGCCACATCAAAATTCTCAATCCATACAAAACCATCTTAATCCACACAGATGATCCAATCGCGATTTAATCCGTCGGTTCGCCTAATTAGTCGCTTAAAATGATGGGTCAATTGCAGCTGGCCACATCAATGTGCTAATGACAGGTCTTGGGGGGAGGTGGGAAGCATGCACCAGCCCTGAGAGAAATCCCTGGATCACAAGACACCTAGGACCAGTTGTTGCCCTCACCTTGCTGCTCATGTGGCTTTCATGACCAGCCCTGAGAGAAATCCCTGGATCACAAGACACCTAGGACCAGTTGTTGCCCTCACCTTGCTGCTCATGTGGCTTTCATGGCTTTTATGGTCCATTGATACACAAAAGCTGGACCTCTTCTTGCCTTTGTTCTCATCCTCTTCACAAGCGGCTGTTTTGTGTGGACAAGAGCACTGTCTTGTTGCTTCCAATGTTTGGTCTGTGTGCATCCATGCCCATCAAATGAAAGCAAGGCCAAACAAGGGGTCCCATGGAGAAAAGATGGATCCCTTTCAAGGAGGTCATCCTCCATGACATTTAGTTGTAGAATTCCCCACTCACATGTGTCTCGATCTTTCTTGGATGGAAGATTTAAGGGCATCAGGTACTAAACTTTTACCCAAGAGAGAATAAACAATGCATGTAGTTCATACAGTCACATCTAAATGAGGTATAATGATGATAAAAAAGTATTAAGCCCAGAATAAAGATTGACACCAGGGAGAGCACACAGCACAATGACATATGCTTTGCTTGATCCTTTGACAAAAGAACAAACTTCAATCAAAACTAAAACCACATTACCAGGAGACAATATTATCTATCTCATCCTAATACCAGAACATGGTCCATACATCATTTGCCCTAATCATATACTACTAGCTCAGAGGCCCTACAACTCAAGAAAGATTTACATATCTAAGCAGCACAAGATTTCATGTGATTCCAAGTGCAGCACAACATGGCCCCAGTTGGACACCTGACCAATATCTGAAAGCAAGAAAAGTGTGGAGACTTAAGGTTTCTTTACTTACTAACTGTATGTAGGCTTTATTCCTTCCCAAAAAAACTAAAAAGCAGGAGATATTGGAGCCCCTTTATTCCTGCCTCAGTAGGAATGATCAGCTATATCTCACATATATTCTACATATCCAAAAAGGTGCAGATGAGACCATAAATTAAGTCAGATGGTGTCCACCATCATTGTAAATCTAGGTTCAATTGCACCATTTCTCTTTCTCTCTTCCAAGCTGTGCTGGTAAAGAGTTGGCTGCAGAAACACACTGT